CAAAAGACTTCACCAAAAGAGTCAAAAGACAACCTACAGACTGGGAAAAATTTTTTAGCTACAACAAATCTGATCAGTGTCTAATCTCTAAAATCTGTTAGATACTACAAAACCTCAACATCAAAAAGACAAATAACACAATTTAAAAATGAGCAAAGGATATGAACAGGCAGTTCACCAAAGAAGACATTCAGGCAGCTAACATACACATGAGGAAATGCTCACGATCATTAGCCATCAGAGAAATGCAAATCAAAACTACAATGAGATGCCTTCTCACCCCAGCAAGGCTAGCATTAATGTGAAAAACACAAAATAATAAATGTTAGACTAGAACACTTATACACTGTGGGTGGGAATGTAAAATGGTACAACCACTTTGGAAATCAATTTGGCACTTCCTTAAAAAGCTACAAATAGAAGTACCATACGATCCAGCAATTCCACTCCTTGGAATATATCCTAGAGAATTAAGAGCCATCACACGAATAGATATATGCACACTCATGTTCACTGCAGCATTGTTCACAATAGCAAAAAGATGGAAACAACCTAGGTGCCCATCAACAGATGAATGGATAAACGTATTATGGTATATTCACACAGTGGAATACTACGCAACGATAAAGAACAATGATGAATCAGCGAAACATCTCACAACATGGATGAATCTGGAAGGCATTACGCTGAGTGAAATTAGTCAGTCGCAAAAGGACAAATATTGTATGAGACCACTATTATATGAACTCGAGAAAAGATGTAAACACAGGAGAAAACATCCTTTGATGGTTACGAGAATGGGGAGGGAAGTAGAGGGGTATTCACTAACTAGATAGTAGACAGGAATTATCTTAGGTGAAAGGAAGGACAACATACTATACAGGGAAGTCAGCACAACTGGACTAAACCAAAACCTAAGAAGTTTCCTGAATACAACCAAACACTTAGAGGGACAGAGTAGCAGGGGCAGGGGTCTGGGGACAATAGTTTCAGGGAACATTTAGGTCAATTGGCATAACAAAGTTTCTTAAGAAAATGTTCTGCATCTCATTTTGGTGAGTGGTGTCTCTGGTCTTAAAAGCTAGCAAGCGGCCATCTAAGATGCATCAATTGGTCCCAACCCACCTGGAGTAAAGGAGAACGAAGACACAAAGACACAAGGAAAATAAGAGCCCAAGAGACAGAAAGGGTAACATAAACCACAGACTACATCAGCCTGAGACCAGAAGAACTAGATGGTGCCTGGCTACCACCAATGCCTGCCCTGACAGGGAACACAACAGAGTCCCTGATGGAGCAGGAGAAAAGTGGGGTACAGAACTCAAATTCTAGTAAAAAGACCAGACTTAATGGTCTGACTGAGACTGGAGGGACCAAGGAAGACATGGTTCCCAGACTCTGTTAGCCCAAAACTGAAATCATTCCCGAAGCCAACTCTTCAGACAGAGATTAGACCAGACTATACGATGTAAAATGATACTCATTGAAGAGAGTGCTAAGTAGATACATGAGACTCAATGGGCAGCTCCTGTCCGGAGGCAAGATGAGAAGGCAGAAAGGGACAGGAGCTGGTTGAATGGACACGGGAAATCCACGGTGGAAAGAAGGAGTGTGCTGTCACATTATAGGAAGAGCAACTAGGGTCACATAACAATGTGTGTATAAATTTTTGTATGAGAAACTAACTTGAACTGTAAACTTTCACTTAAAGCACAATTAAAAAAAAAAAAAAAAAGAAACCCACAAGGGATACAGAGATGAATTTGACTCAGCACCTGTCCTCAACCTGTTGCAGTCAAGTCGATTCCAACTCAGGGTGACCCCACAGGTTTCAGAGTAGGGTTTTCAATGGCTGTAATATTACAGAAGTAGATCCCCAGGCCTTTCTTCCGTGGCATCACTGGGTGGATTCGTACAGCCAACCTTTTGCTTAGTAGCTGAGAGCAAACCGTTTATGCCACCCAGGGATGTTACTTGTCCTCAAGGAGTTTACAAATTAATAGAGGAAAAAAGAGAAACACAAATTGTCAGGGAACAACTTTTCATGGAATCTAGGGTTCACCAACAATAGATTGCATTAGTGAAGGAATTGGTAAGGTTTCAAGTGAAAAAAAAAAAAAACTAGGGAAAATGTTTTGCTCTGACAGGGAAAAAATAATATAAAGCTTGCCTCGATGCAGGAAACAAGATTTAAAAATTTCCTTTAGAGTTTTAACCTATTCACTTATTATTTTTAAGTAGTCTAATACAGACATAGCAAATGTCACACCAAAGTTGTGACTGAAAATTATACGTTATCTGAAAGCTATAATTAAAAAGATCATTGACTAACATGAAAACAGAAAAGGAGGTATAAAATCACATTAAAGCATAATAATATACACATATACACATATATATAGATGCACACACAGATAAATGTGTGTATAATCATACATTTCCAAAGATCTTAAAGCATGTTACTAACTTCTCAGCTGACTCATTCTGGCAATCCTATGGAAAAGGTCACAGGCAGATCTGCAACTATAAATAAGAAGTTACTTATTTGGAACTGCCTAGTACGGATTTAGAGAATCTATAAAATCATTTTGCTATGGATGAGGGCAGAGAGCTAGGCCAAAACTGTCAGGTTAGCCAACTGGAATGTATATAGATTGACATTGTGAACTGCATTTCTATGTGAGCTGAATGAAGCATGGGATTCCCTCTGGTATTTTATGCTCTGGCCACAGCTTTTAAAGGTGAAATGTGTCTGAGTCTTACATGGGTTCTTGGAAAAGATATGAGGGAGAAGACTTCATACCCTCACCCACAGTAACAGTCACCATAAACATTTATTGAACACCTGCCCCTCTCTGCCTCAAGGAGCTTATATTTTAGGTGGGGAGACAGGGCAAGCACAGAAAGAGGTAAAGGACCAGTTCAAGAGACCATGTGCTCAGTGAGAGAGGGAAAAGTGAGAGCTGGGCAGGTCAGATAATGCTTCCTGAAGAAAGGGTAGGAGGCAATGACCTCCTGTTTGTTCATTCTTTCTTTCATTCATCAAATTCATTCAACAAATATTATTGAGCACCTATGTGACTGCTGCTATACGAGGCATCATGAATATAATGGTGAATAAAACTGAAAGGATTCCTGTCCTATTACAATTTATAATGCAGATAAGTAAATCGTATACTTTACAACAATGTGACATGTGCTATGATGGTGATAAGCTCAGAAGAAAGGCACCTTATCCAGACCGGGAGATGGTGGTGTGAGTTAAGGAAGGCTTTCTAGAGGAAACAAGATTTAAATTGATACCCCCTCCCAAAACAAAAGGCACTAACCAGGCAAAGAGTAGTGGAAGAGTGTTGTAAGCAGAAGGAATAGCATCTTGTGAAGGTCCAATGGCAAAAGAGTGCATGGTATTCATTTGGCATGGGGGTAGCAGGGGGAGCATGAACAAAGGTTCAGAGGAGGAAGAGACTGGGCGTGTGCCAGAAATAATGAGGACATCAGTATGGTTAGAGTGCTAGGAGAAGGCCTGGCAGGTTAGGCAAAGGAGTCTGCATCCTATCCTAGGAGCAGTGGGCAGTCACTGAAACTTATTGAGCCACGAGAGGGTAGCATGGGCGAAGTGATGTTTTAGGAAGATGAATCCATGAGTATGAGCAGGATGGCAGAATGCTTCAGTAGGATTTTAAGGGGCAGGCTCTAGTCAAGGTTTAGCTAATCAGTTAACAAATCAGCGGTGGATTAGCCAATAGGCAAGGTAAACAGTGCTTACCTTGCTTACGAGATCATCTGTAGTGAACAATTTCACATTTTTTCACCACATCGAAGATTCTGCTTCTAGGTATGGTTGGCATCTCTCTCTCTCCCCCCCAACCCCACAGCACCTCCCTACGGAATCAAAGCTTCTTTTCAAATTTACAATCCCTGACAGGGGTGGATGACCCAATAAGCAAGGGAAGCACAGGCTTACTTGTGCTTAGTTACTCATCTGTAGTGAACAATTTCATCTGTTTTTGCTTACCTTACTTACTGAGTAATCAGACCCTGACTAACTGTATTTCCTTACTTAGTGGTTGCTTCTCCTATCTTCTACTCATAGTGCTTCCCGGCAGAATGAACAAATGTGTGAAATCTGAACTGACTACACTGCTGTTAGACAACTACAATATTTCCATCTACGACCTAAACGGAGACCCGAAAGGTCAGGAATTATGGCCTAACTACTATGCACAGGCCCATGGGATTGTTTTTGTGCTGGACTCCAGTGACTTAGGACGCATGCAAGAAGTGAAAATCATCTTACCACGTTTGCTGTCTGATGAGCGAGTGGCAGGAAAACCGATTTTATTGTAAGAGTCTTCCTTTAGGCCTGACTTCCCCTTCCCATTTTGTGCCTTAAGAAGATCCATATATAGGACGAAGGGTGCAATGGTCCCTTTGTCAAGGCCCAGCTAGATCTCCTCTTTCCTTATTAGGCTCAGTGAGGTGGAGTGGCCTGCTTCTCTGAGGGTTGTTTTCTGGGGCCACTTTCTACCACACACTGCCACGGAGGGCATGTTACCTAAATGTGTTGTTTGTTGTTAGTTGCATCACGTTGATTCTGATTCATGGTGACACCATAGGTTAAAGAGTATATCTGCCCCATAGGGTTTTCAGAGGCTGATTTTTTGGAAGTAGATCACTAGGGCACCACTGGATGAGTTCAAACTGTCAACCTTTAGGTTAGCAGTTGAGCACAAATCGTTAGCGCCACCTAGGGACCTACTTAATTGTATAAAGATAATTTTGAAGGCAAGCATCAAAAGGAAATGGAGAGTAATATCTGGATCTACCACCTCCCATCCCTTGACTCTTCCTGAAGACTGCCTTCAGTGATTTGCTTCTCATTTTGTCTGGTTTCAATCTTTAATCCCAAGATCTCACAGTGGCAGAAAATGACCCCTAATTTGCATAATTTATGCCAATGGCCCCCTCCCTTAGCAGACTGCTCAAGAGTTGAGTAACACTTATTCCAGGGTGATAATTCAAGTCACCAGTCAATCTTCACCCCTCCCCCATTCCTTTTTTGCCTTTTTCATTCCTCATTAGCACCACCACTACAGCATGAACAGAGTTTGGGACGGGATGTAAAAACTCTAAATGTGTTCATATCCTAGTTTGCAATTCTAATTAAAGTTTGATGGTATAATGTAGGGGAAGTGAGAAATGAGGCCTGGGAATTATCTTGGATTTAAATTATTTGCACTATCTCTTCCTTCCATTGAGAGTTGGCTAGAAAAATTCCTGGCTCATCTCATTGGACATACAGCAGTTGTGCCAGAGCTGATTCTCCTCCTCTTTATCTTCTCTCCTTGCTCTTTGTCTCTATTTCTGTTTCATGCTTCTCTCTTCTTGCATCCTTCTCTCCTGTGCCCTGTTCTAGCCTGGCAAACAAACAAGACAAGAAGGATGCCCTCCTGCCTCGTGAAATTGTTGAGTACCTGCTCCTGGAAAGGCTAGTAAATAAGTCCCTGTACCGAGTGGTAAGTGTCAACCCCTTCCTTCCCTCTCCCTCTGGAGTCTAGCTGATGTGTTCCTTGGCCCATTCAATAATCCATTCCATATGCTGGGTTTGGGACAAAGCCTCTCCCTGCCAGGCAACATCTACCGTAATGATTTCTGACCTGAGGGTGATAATAAATATCACATTCTTATAACACTTTCACATCTGTTTTCTCATTAAGCCTTCAAAATAGCTCTGTTACGTGGGAAGTTTTAATATCTCCATTTTATAGATAAGATAAGGCTTAGAGACTCTAAGTCTAAGCCCAGGGTCACACATCCAGGACATTATACCACTTTACTAAAGGACTTTAGCTTTTGTATCTTTCATTTATCTTCTAAGAAGTCAACGCTGAGTGTCTCTTAGAAGGTCCTAGAGCTGCTCTAGGCATGGCAGAGCGTATGTGAACCTCTGCTCTTTAGATGAGTTACTGGGAATGTGGGCTCCATGAAGTCTTCTCTTTTTGTCACAGGAGCCTTGTTCAGCCATCAAAAACTTCCAAAAAAGAAACCATCAGCCCATAATTGAAGGGCTGCGCTGGTTATTAGCTGCCATCGGGGATAAATATGAAGAGCTATGTACTAGTCAACAGCAATGTGGAATGGGACTATCACCTACCTCAAGAAACCCAACCTCCAAGGGCACCAGAAGCTCTAGAGAAAGATGTTCATTCAGCAGGTACTGAGCTACTGAGCTGCCTCTATTGGGTTTACTGATATGAATAGATACAGGAGTCAATCTTCAACATAAGCAGGGAGTTCTAGGAGGTACTTGGATTCTGTGCAGCACCAAATTAGTCTCTCAAGATCAGCTGGCCCAAATGGAGCTAGGGAAGTGACCGACATTGTTAGGTACACCCGTCACACACAATTTGAGCAGTCATGTTACCAGGATGAGTTGTATAAAGGTATAATCAACCTATCAGTAGTACAGTTTCTCCAAAACAGGGCTTCTGTTTGCCATGTGGAGGAAAAAAGGCACATGAGCCCCTTAAGGAGCCTACTGGCATTATTCTATGAATGAATGTCATGGAACTATCCCATGTTCTCAGCCTCCAGGTTCTCTGATCTTCCCAATAAAAAGAAATGATGGGGAAGAACAGGAATGTTAAAAAGAGTAAAAGAAAAAAGAAAATAGGAGGTGCTCAAGGTTTTGAGGAGTGAAAGGTCTAAATGCTCTGCTGTTAAACAAAGGCGTATGGTAGGATGGGATAAGAGCTGATTAAGAAACTTAAAGTGGATCTGTTTCTACTACTGCTTTGTCCTTTCTACCTTCCCCAGCTTCTACACTAGGATGAGAATGACCAAACAGAAAAGACTGGACTTAGGACACCATTCAGTAGAAGCTAGACCCCTAAAACCAATCCTTCAGGTAAATAGCTTTTTGAATGTTATTGCCCCAGGGACCAATCCCTGAACTTTTGGGCACCAACTGGCTTTCTTTCCTCATCTTCTTGCTGTACAGAAGGAAGGTTTACTAAGACCTAAAAAGAATACACCAGTAACATTTGCTTTAGATGAACCAATGGAAGAAGGTGAATGTTCTACAGGAAGTGAAGATCAGAAAGCTAATGAGCTCCACTACAATCAAAGTGCTAACTTGCAGACTTCAGCTCCATATATTGATGATGATTCTTTTGAAGGTAATATTGGACCAGTGGTTAGTCAGAGAAGATATACAGGCCTTCCCTCACAATTTCTAAAATAGTATTTCTATTTTGAGTCTGAAACTTATACTATGGTTGGTGGTTAGGAGAAGAAGAGAAGCGGAAGTACAGGAAGAGTGCTTGGGGATCAAGAGTGCTTGGGGATTGCCTTCTGGAAGCCCAGTATGACTCCCAGTACTGGGTGAGACAAGATCTTTGGATGGCTATGTTTTTGTTGTTGTTGTTGTTGTTGTTAGGTGCCATCGAGTTGGTTCTGACTCATAGTGACCCTATGTACAACAGAACAAAACACTGCCTGGTCCTGTGCCATCCTCACGATTGTTGCTATGCTCGAGCTCATTGTTGCAGCCACTTTGAATGGATGGTTATAGGATTATTTTAAAGGTGGAAGTACAAATTGTTACAACCTTTATGGAGGGTAATTTGGCTGGCTCACTGTCACTAGCACACTCTCATACTAAATTTCTCCCTCCCTCTCCCTGCCTCTTATATGTGTGTGTGTGTGTGTGTGTATATATATGTATACATAAAATCTCAAGAATTTTTAAAATGTGGATACCCTTTGAGCCAGCAATCTCATTCCTTGAACTGTATCAAGGATGTTCAATCACAGCATTATGTACAACAGCTTAAAACTGGAAACAACCTAAATGTCCAAAATGGGGAATGGCTAAATAAATTATGGTATACTATGCAGACATCAAGAAGGCTAATGTTGTAAGTCAACATTTACTGACATGGGAAGTTTCTCACAACCTGACATTTTGTTAGAGAAAATAGCAAGTTATAGTACAGCACGTGTAACATGATGTGCACATATGCATAGAAATATCTGGAGGGATATCAGCCAAATATTAGCAGTGGTTTTCTCTGCAAGGGAAGCAAAGTGCCAGGTTTCCTGTCCTTCCCAGACCACTTCAGGTTAAAAGGGTGTTTGTTGGGTGATTTTGAGAAATAAAAGGCCTAGATGCCTTTCTTTGGATCTTTGTGTATTATTTTTTATACTGCACTAATATCATTTCTCCCAACACAATAAAGGCATCAAAATTAAAAAACAAATCTGTGAGGTTTTGAAGGCTCACTGTGCTAACAGCCACTCCTTCTCAGTGTTCTTTGAGACCCCAGTCTCCAAGATCATCAACTGTCAATATTATAATGTCACATCAGCTCTCCAAGGGATCTGGTATTTCAGGCTACCCTGGAGCCTTGAGTTCTTAAACTGCCTGGAGGGGCCTGGACTTGGCCAGGGCCACTGCCCTGGGGATGAGGGGAGAGCATCAGAGTTGAGTGGAGGGTATCTGGTAGAAGAGTTGAGGAAGTGTTTCCTGGTATCAGCAATTACCCCTAAATCTTTGTCCAAAATTGAAATTCAATTTCATTACTATATCCTCAGAGCCCAGAGCCTAAAACAGAATGGATACACGGGACACAGAAGAAATGTTACTGGACAATCCCTGTGGAGAGATCTTTGGTTCCTGTGGTTAGTACTCCTTAAATGAAAGGAAGAGGGGAAAGAGCAAGATGAGAGAAAATATCAGGCTGGGGCAAGGAGTGAGTGCCTCATGGGGTACGGTCTACACCCCCTTTGGGAACTGGCCAACAAACACCCTTTTAACCTGAAGTGGTCTGGGAAGGACAGGAAACCTGGCACTTTGCTTCCCTTGCAGTGACTGGCTATTTTCTTTCTCATTTTAGACTTTTAAGAGACTACTAAAAAGAAAAACAGAGGGAAGTCAAAAGAAACATCTAATATCCCTCCCCTGGCAAATGTGCTCATCTCTAGAACCATCATGACTACACAGCTTTTCAGTTTCTATTTGATAACACCTTTCCACTCCCACTACAACTCCACCTACTCTAACATCACAGCCCTGAGAACCTCATTGTTCCTGTACATCTGTAATCTAACCATCAAATTAATCCTATACCTACCCAGAGGCTCGAAACAGCAGGAATATCAGGGGATAAGAAAGGGTAGGTGGCATCTACTTGAGAATGAAGACAATCTTGGTGAAGAAGAACAGAGACTTTACATCTTTGCACCCAGATGTTCCTGATGAAGTCTGTTGACAACACATCTTGGGTGACCAGCTGAAATTGAGCCTTAGAAGTATAAGTTAGTTTAGAATTACACCTTTTTCCCTTGAGGTTCTTGGGTATAAGGGGAGTGGCAAAAATAAATAGAACCTCTGGGCTGAGAATTGTGCTATGCTGAATCATTTTTAGTCCGGCCTCCAAAAGCAATTCAATTTCAAATTCCCAGCCACTTTCTGTGAAGCCCAGCAACAATTCCTTTGCTGTCCCTTCAAGAAGAGTAACTGCTGCCTCTCCTAACACTTTTGTTAGGTATGCAAAAGATATAGAGCTTGGATGCATTCAAACCTCCATCCCAATGGTGGCGCAGTGGTTAGGAGCCGGGCTGTTAACCAAAAGGTCAGCAGTTCAAATCCACCAGCCACTCCTTGGAAACCTTATGAGGCAGCTCTACTCTGTCCTATAGGGTCACTATGAGTTGGAATCGACTTGACAACTTTTTACTACTATTACTATCACCATCAGTACCACCAAACCAAAAAACAAACCTATTGCCATCAAGTCGATTCTGACTTTAACCCATGTGTAACAGAGCAGAACTACTCCATAGGGTTTTCTTGGCTGTAATCTTTATAGAAGAAGATACCAAGCCTTTCTTCTGCAGTGTCACTCGGTGGGTTCGAACCACTAACCTTTAGATTAGCAGTCAAGCTCAAACCGTTTGCCCTACCCAGGGACCTGTATTAGTACCACAGCCACCATTTATTCAGTGCTTTCTTTCTGCCAGGCACAGTGCCAAGTTCTTCACATCCATTATCTTGCTCACAGCAACTCTTGGGGTAGGCACTACATCTGACTACATTTTATAGATGAGGAAACTAAGGGACAGAGAAGTTAAATAACTTTCCTAGGTCCCACAGACTGCAAGGAGCAGAGCAGGAAATTGAATTCAGATCTGTCTGACTCTAAGGCTACTTTAGGCCAGAAAGATCCACTTATGCTTTTCTCAAACTCTACCCAGAAAAAGAAAGCTATATCCAGGAAGAATACTGAAGCTTACCTATGCCCATGTCAGAAGAATTGTGGTGATATCAATAACCACACCAGTAGTAGAAGCAGACAAGATTGCTGGAGCACTTCCATTTTGCCAGCATCTGCGCTAAATGCTTTATATATATATTTTGCCTTTTATCCTCACAATTCAATGAAGAGGTTCCATTATCACCATCCTACCGAGGCAGAAACTGAGGTTCAGAGCAGTTAAATAACTTGTTCAAGGGCACCCACTAGAAAGCGGCAGAAATGGGTTTCAAACTAAGGTCCAACACCATAACCCATGCTCTTAACTCTACCTATACCGCTTCACCAGGCAGCATGAACCAACTAAGTCATAATCATTTCTGAGAGGTAGAAACCTTGCACAGAAAGATGTCTTACAACCCCATCAGGAGAGTCTGACACATCTCTTGCTCTTGTGCATTGTATATGGCCTTATCTGTAAGTGAGCCACCCCAGGGATTCTGTGGACTTGCTTTCCCCAGGAAGTCTTGACAGGATTCTGACTGAGGCTCAGTGTATTAGTCATGGAGATGGAAAGAAACTAGGGTTTCTAGTCCACCCCAGTTGTTATACAGATGAGGAGCTTGAGGTATAGAGAGGTTAAGTGGACTTGCCCAAGACTGTACAGCTGATTACTGGCACAGCTGGTTCTAAAATCCAGATCTCCTGCGTGCCCAAACCAAGGCTCTACTCTGTCCAAGAGGACCACATCTCCCGAGTCTTCTCTGGCCACTCTAGGCCCATCCACTTTCCTCCAATTTGCCTGATAAATATCACTGGAGAATTCTGCTGCCAATCATTCTCACCCAGGGATGCAGCAAACATCTCAACTCAGGCAGGAAACTATAATTCAACAAACCACAGTTAAGAAAATAGGGTCATCCGCATTTCTCTTGATGGCATGTGTGTTTATGAGGCAGTACTTTCTCTGCAGAGTAGGAAGGGGAAAAATGGCTAAAAGGGGATGATGGGAGTGCAGGGTAGAGAGTTTAGGTTGAAACAATCTGTAACACAACCGAATTTCAGTATATTGACATACTTCCTTTGTTCAGTGTACATGTTCTTAGGTATCAACTAAATTTTCATAAATAGAATCAATCAATCACAGGAAGTTACTTAAAGAATACCCCTCAAATACAGCCATGAAAATCCATACCCGTCAAATACAGCCATAAAACAAAAAAAAAGTTGCCACTGAGTCAATTCCAACTCATAGCAACCCCATGTGTCACAGAGCAGAACTATCCCATAGGGTTTTCTTGGCTGTAATCTTTATGGAAGCAGATTACCAGGCCTTTCTTCTGCGGTGTCACTGGTCGTATTTGAACTGTCAACCTTTAGGTTAGTAGTCAAGCACAAACCATTTGTGCCATGCAGGGACCTGAAATATAACCAGTATACTCTTATTTATAAAAGGGAAAAATTCTTTTCTGAGTAAATCTTACTTTTGTTGCTGCAGACTGTTAACATACCCCTTATCAAGCTGAGTGACCTGGCAATCTCCCCCAGTGAAGACAGGTATGACAGTACCTACCTCACAGGCTTGTTGTGAGGATTAATGGGGACAATCCATATAAAAAAAGCTTAGCACAGTGGCTGGTACAATAGCTACTATTATTATCATTAGAGGAGAAGCTCAGTCAGACCATTAGACAGCTATACCCCCCTTCTAGGAACCCCGGTGGTGCAATAGTTAAGCGCTTGGCTGCTAACTGAAAGGTCAGCAGTTCAAACCCACCAGTCATTGCACAGGAGAAAAGACTGGGCAATTTGCTCCCGTAAAGATGACAGCATAGGAAACCCTATGGGGCAGTTCTACCCTGTCACATGGGATTGCTATTAGTCAGAATCGACTCAGCAGCACCTAACAACAACAACAACAACCCCCTTTCTGGGAGAGGTATCCCTTTTTCTGCAGAGAAAAATCCAAAGAAAGATGTCTTAGATTCTAAAGTACAATGACCATAGATAATCTAGGGTAGCAACTACAATTATCACCTCCTATATAGCCTTTGTGAATCTTAGATCTGCTAGAGGGCTTACAAATCTACATCTCAGTGTGGCAGCCCAGGGACCAAGATTAAGGATAGTTTCTTGAACCCTGAGGGCAAATTTTCTTTCAGTCAAGTGGCTGCCTTAGGA